TAATTTGGGATTGTTTAGAATTTACATAACATCCTGTTATCAATCCAACTGATATAGGGTTTATACTTTCTCATGATAAAACTTGAAATTTCATTAAGATCAGTATGAAAAGTAAAGATATTAGACTTGTTAACAGGGTGTATTATGTTGTTATAATTACCTACTAATCCTACATAAACCAATCAAATAGGTTAGTAGCACTGCATTTTTTTCAAGTGCATTAAGAAAGCCACTTACTCATGAAAAATAAAATCAAAAATATGATGCATTTTAATTACATTAACTGTTTATGTTAAATTCTTTCTTAAAATAAACAATCTAATATTTTTTTAGATGGTGGCTAGAGGTAGTCAACAGGAAACTCTACATCCAGGTTTCGTGTTATTTGGCACTCATCAGCAAGATGTACCTGTTGAGGGAACTAATGCCCCCTAACGGATTCGATCCTGTGTCACCAAGCTACACAGTCAGAGATGTTACCACCGGGTTATCCGGGCCGCTACTAACCTCCTGTACATCTGAAATGTTCACTGGGTGGTGGATGAGCAATGTCATTTGTGTCAGGTCAGAATTATTGAAAGCTCTGAAAAATGATGGCATCGTCTGTTTTTCAATAAGATGTCGCTTAAATGTGATAGATCATGTACTTTGTTTTACTCATTAATTTATATACAATGAAAGTTTAGTTACACTAACAACCGCACATGTTTTTCCTCATTCCAATGATCGATTATAGGTTTGTGTATATGACTTTACTAACTATAGGGTAAATATTATCATCTAACTGTACTAATCAATATAAAATGAAAGCTAAACTTGTGACTTGTTGAAAGAAACTACTTAATTAAGGCACTTTTAAGTTGATCAGTTTTATAAATGAAATATAAAAGATGAAAAGCTATTCGCATCATTTTCAGGAAATGCTTATTTGTTATATCCATACTACCTGTTAACAAACTCTTAATTATGAAAACAGTTTTCAGTCAGTTATTGATCGTTATTTCTTCATTTAATCCAAAATATTGGAAAAAAAACTTAATATAGAAATGTCTGGATCTGAATATGGAATTAACGATGATTTGTAGAAACCTATTTAGAGAAAATTCCCAGTTATTGGGTGGTATGTTATGCCCTTTACTTTAATTAAATACTTTCAGTTTGACGTAGTTCCTTGCTTTCACCTAATTCGCCTACTGACTTACATTGAAACTAATTCAAAAAACTGAAACTACCTAGATAAACATCAAAACAAGAAGACCCTGAGCAAATGTTTCATCCTAATTTCAGATACTCTAGCAGTGATGAGAACAAACGTCAAATTAGACAACCTTGATAAATCATCTTATCTGGAGCAATTGCTGAATTATTGATAAAAAGTCATTATTGGTAAGATACAATCATCATAGTTTACGCCGATAATTTTAATGGTCAATGTTAGAAAATGTCTAAATTTAAAAATGTAAATGAACGTAATCTAAGTGAATGTTTGACACCTGAATTAGGCGTAGCATAATATTACAGAGTTACTTGGTAAAATAGAAAAACCATACTATAATATTTAATTTGCAAAATGTTCAATAATTGTCTCGAACTTCATTGTTCTTGCATTTCCATACAAATTGCTTTCTATTCCCGCTTTTCCTTTCTTGATCTTGCCCATCTTTTGCCGCCAGACATTACATTTCTGACTCGCGTCATATACTACTTACATCAATATAAGTAGTACGCACTATAATACTACAAACTAAGCAATTTTTTATAAACATTAATTACTTATTTCCATTCGTACATTCATTATATAGTTTACAATTTACCAGTTGACTGTATTGATAATCTGCTATGGTTTTACATTTAATGCATTCACACTGTATATATTCAAATATTGAACATCTTAAATTGATATTTAAATAATTAGTCTGAAAAGGAAAATTATTCAACATGAGACAACAATGTATGAAATTTATCTTATTTTCCCAATATAAGTTGGAAGAGCATTAAAAAAGTTTATTATTATATTAATAAGTGATAATAAAAAGTGTTAAATCATTCAATTTATTTATTGCAATGATATAAAGTTCACTGTTCTATTGATGATACCTTTCAAGTTATCAGTTTCAAGATCATTTTCATTGAAACTATATATAAATTTGATGAAAGAATACCTAAAATGCCATTAGTAGACTTCCTAAGACAGGAAATAAACAATAGTGGAACAATTGAAATGACATGAAGATTTCTTTTCAGTTCCATATACGGTCAAGTAAAGTGTTATTAAGTCGTAAATATTCTAATGTTTAAGGAGTATATTTTTGATCCTTTTCATCATCGTCATCATCTTTATTATCATAATCATCAACATAATTCTAAAAACAAATTCAACAACTAAGGATGAATTCAGGAAATATTATGGCTACTTCTCTTAGTTATTTTTTAAGATTTTCCAAGCACTTACATAGTTGCTTACGGTCAATAATTGTTAGAACCAAATCTAGGAACACTTAAGCTGACATATCAATTGAAACAATATTAAGCAATAATTTAAAACAGTGACAACGTTTATTGATAATGATATATAGCAAGGAAACGTTGCTATTTTACTACTGAATACTGTTTTTTGAACTTAGAAACAAACTAGTGGCATGTTTAGAGAAGAAAAATGTGTCTTCTTATTTATCAGAGATTTAAACAAAAAGAAAACCACGGAAACCTTTGAAAATTTTTATCAACAGAACATTTATCCTTCTCATTATTCAAATAACCTACTTGACTGAAAAGGAGAAATGACCACTTGTGCCAATACAAGTCATTAAAACTCCTCAGTTATCTTAAGTGAATAAGGTTGCCTTAATTGTCTTTCTTAGACATAAAAATAAGTTATATTTTAAATTATTTGATTCATTATATCTATTACTCACATTTGTAAATAAAGACAATGAAGAATTTTTTCTATAGGTTACCAATATTTTGAACATCAAATAACTTCTAGAGGTTAACTCACTAAGTAATGAATTTATTTAACTTGATATTTGGTTGTCAAATGCGTAATTAGTTAATAATAAGTATACATCTTGTAAAGCAGCACAAGCTAGTTAAGAAAGTTTCTAAAAATTAAACCATCAAAAATTACGTTTAATCAGTACCATTACATCAAATGGATCTTTATAACTGGTTGACTAAATTATTTGACTCAAATCACTAATTTTACGATCTGAAATAGTATAAGTTAGTTTATGAAGTTCAACAATCTCAAATATCTAATATTGATAACAATGTTGTTTAAGATATTGCAAATTTCCCTAAACATAGTTTCCCTACAGATCCAGTATTATGAAACCTTACTTAATTACTTACGCCTGTTACTCCCAATTGAGCATAGGCTGCCGACCAGTATTCTTCAACCCAGTACGTCCTGGGCCTTTCTTTCTAGTTCTATCCAATTTTTGTTCATTTTTCTCATGTTTGTCACCATTTCTCGACGTAATGTGTTCTTTGGTCTTCCTCTTTTCCTTTGGCCTTGAGGATTCCATGTGAGGGCTTGTCTTGTGATGCATTTCGTTGCTTTTCTCAATGTGTGTCCTATCCACTTCCAGCGCTTCTTCCTGATTTCTTCCTCTGCTGGGATCTGGTTTGTTCTCTCCCATAGTGGGTTTGTGCTGGTAGTGTCCGGCCAACGGATCCGATGTATTTTCCGTAGACGGCTGTTAATACACACTTGTACCCTCTGATAGGCGGCTTTTGTAGTTCTCCAGGTTTCCGCCCCATACAGTAAAACTGTCTTGACATTTGTATTGAAAATTTTGACCCTGGTGTTGGTTGACAGTTGTTTTGGGTCCCAGATGTTCCTCAGTTGTAAATATGCTGCTCTTGCCTTGCCCATCCGCTCCTTCACATCTGCACCAGACCCGCCGTTTTGATCAATCATGATGCTCAGATATGTAAAGGTTTTTACATCTTCCAAATCTTCTCCGTCAAGTGTGATTCGGTTCGTGAATGCTGTGCTGTGTCGGGGAATTTTGCTTTTCCCTTTGTGTATGTTGAGACCTGCTGTTTCTGAGGCTGCTGCTACACTGGTCGTCTCCTGAATTTGTTGTTGCGTGTGTGATAGAAGAGCCAGATCATCTGCTAATTCTAGATCATCCAGCTGCATCCTAGCTGTCCACTGTATCCCATACTTCCCCTCATATGTTGACGTCTTCATGATCCAGTATATCACCAGGAGAAAGAGTGAGAGTAAGCAACTTTGCCTAATACCGGTATTTACCTCGGACGAGTCTGATTATGAGACCTAAAATTATATATTTTTTAATGCTACTATATGACCAACGACCTAGTAGTTTGGACTTATAACCTAAATTCGGACAGAATTAACTCGTAAAAAAGCTATCCGAAAATTTTCAGCTGTGTTATAATATCAAAAATCTCCAAGTGGTCAAACTTAACGACTTTCATTTTAGTGTTTTTCGTCCTGCGAGTTAAATGAGAGTGAAACTTATAATAATGAATTAATTACCTAGTAGCTCTACAAAGTTTCTGTTCACGCAAGACACATACATTACCGATTTTATCAAAACTGATAGATTGACTGCTACCTAAATGCAAATAATTAACTGGAAGTTATTAACGATAAAAACCTAATAAACATTTTAAGAGTTTATCGAACCCAATACGTTAGGTGAATAGGCTAACATAATTGAGATCTTATTTGATATTTTTATTGTGGATTTTAGCTGGATGTAAGAATGTTTTACTAACTCAGAAACCTAAGAATAATTATCCTCACGTATCCCTATAAAGCCAGTATTTTATACTGGCAAACAATAAACTCGCCAACCCTAATGACAATAACAAAGTGTTTGATACAATTACCTGAATCTTTATCCAGCCGATCAAGACATGTCGTATAGATTGAATAGAATTCATTATATTTTAACATCGTTTGGAATTTAAAAAACAAACTCATCTAAAAAAACGTTTATTTCGACACAGTATTCCATTTTACATCATGAAAATTCCCCGCATCCAAAAACATGATAAAAAATTATCACGTTTCTTTTGAAAGGATCCACGATTGCATAAGCGAACGTATTCAAATGTTCTTTATTTGAGGGAAACACCATGTTACTTTGTTCATCCTTTAAATAGATGCAAATAACATGTGGGAGCAAGCAAGACGTTAGTAAACAACGGAAATAAAGCTATTAAGAAGGCTAATAGTTTCATACATATCATTGAATAATACATGTACTTAAGTACGAAAATTAATCAAGATAATAAGTTTCTGATCGATTATTCATGATTTCAGACTAAGTCCAGACATATAGCCTACAGTATATCATCTTTTTTAAGCTTTGAAAATATTTGGGATTGAACAAAGAATTTCAATTAACAATCGCTACACATATTTAGTAAACTAATCAGATTATTTTTCGTCACATATATTGTATTTACCAAAGATAACACTTTGTTCTTAAAAACGTTAAACCTTAAGCAACCGCATTTGTTTCAGGTAAACATATCAAACAAAACGTGACAAAAAATAAGATATTCAAGCAAAATTGTAAAGTAAATCAAAACATACAAACTAAAAAAACAAGACTGATAGATATAAATCCGACAATCACCAACAGGTATTTGTAGATCTATACTACCATTTTTTGCGTTCCTAATTACCAAAAAAGGGTCAAATGCTCGAGTTACTGCACAGCATAAAATAATTGCCCTAAACACCCAGAATATTTAAACATGGATTCAACGAAAATCATTGCAATCTACTCCTCACATAAAGTTATAAATTTAAAGTAACTACAAATGAAAAGAGTGGTACAAATCCCCTTCCTGTATGTTTTGAGTTACAGGCACTTTTGATTGCGTTTAGAGGCTTTTAGTGACTAGGTTCTTCATATACAACTTTTCTCATTATTTTATAAAATTACAGAAAAGTATATTATCATGCTTAATCCGTAAATTTAAAAATAATGATAAAAAGTTTTCTTCAGTTTCAGAAATTTGTACAATTTTCGTCATACTACTTCAGGAATCTGTATAGCCAGAAAAATAGTAGTTAGTTACAAACTTTACGAGTAATCACATAATTGTCATTTAATTGTAATCACATCAGTGTACCGTTGATGTTCAGTCCCCACTTATTGCATAGATTTTAAACAGTGAGCTTCAACTAAAAACAAAGCGTGTAATGAAATTTTGTACGGTATTGAAGATGCCACAGGTATTTTTAGTTTGACAGCACTTTATCCAGTAACACCTTCTATAATTGAATCGTGCCCATCCAGTGAAGTCAAACGTCAGAAGCGAGGAGGTTCAAAAATATATTCGATATGTTATCAATATATCAAGCAGTGACTGAAATAAACTGGCTAGTGGTCGTAGTAGAAGTTGAGCACGGCGTTTACACTCGTGATCCGGTGCGGATGTGTGACCGAGAGCCTTCAGCTAGGGGAGTCCATTAAAACTAATGTGGTCAGCATCAAATGTCAAAAACTTACAGAGCCATTGCTTTTGGGGATTTATTTGCCGCTACAACATTTAAGTCCTAACGTGACTATAAAGAACTAACGCAAAAATGTTTGGTAGGTAAATTGATATGTTGAAAACGGCATGCGAGTCATCTACAAAGTATATATGACGCGTTTACCACGTAATTTTAAGTTGCATGTCTACTGCATCAATTTGTTATGCGCAAAGTCTATACGATCGAGACTTACGAGTTTAAAACTAAGCAATAGTTGTAATTAATTATTATAGAGGTTGGGTGATGTGTAGAGAAATCAACCAGTGTGGTACAGTTGTACTGAGGACCTAATTTTTTTCTAAACTCTTAGGTTAATTAGCACTTTAACTGCTCATTCTTAGACCTTGTTATATCCTCTTGAACTACATCCCCGACGCTACAATGTTTGTTGTGGTTAAAAGTAAAATCATTTTCTCCTCATTTCACAAAATTTCTATGTTGATATGCAATTTGACAGTCTGAACAAAGATAATATTCACCTCACGTCCTACATTGATGATTACTGGCTGACAAACTATATACGCACATTTGATCGTAATGGTTGTAAGTGAGGTTGAAGAATTTGTTGCGGGTCAAAATTATCGCGAAGACAAAAGCTCGCATTTGTAAATACCATCAGTTCGTCCTCTCAATATATGATATGGTGAGTAGTGACAGGTTACACAAACACTCGCGAATTTCATAGATACAAGAGTCTGGGTAGAGCAAACTTAATTTCACACAACACCATCTTGATTTGCTCAAATAAAAAAGTGCTCAAGAATACAGTATTACTCACTCATAAATTTACGGAAATATAGACACGAAGAGGACCAAAATTTACATAAATGTATTGAAACCGTTTTACACTGTCTTTTTTTAAAAGTCATGTTGTTGATCATGTAAAAGGAACTTAATCAACGTGCTATAACAATAAATTATGCCCTCAAAGGTATATTTTTCAAAATTAGGCTTGGTAATTCACTTACATACACACGAACTTCGTAAACGTGGGAAACAATTTCGATTGCTTTTGAATCAGGATTTTTCTGAACACTGAAACCATAGTATTACAATAGCACAGCAATATACCATATTAAATCACGATATATTTTGCGTACAGTATCAATGTATGGCTTAATCTCATCTTCTTGTTGACATATTTCACCTCCAATACAAATGTGTTTGAACAGACGAACGAGAAACTCTTCTCTTTCTTTTTCAGTAAGAATAGAATAACTGTCTGAATCTTCAAGTAACAAACACTGTAGGTCGATAAAAACGAATGGTACTTGCCTCTCTTAATCTATCGGAAATAAGGATTGTTTCGAAAACATCGTCCAAACGTGTTTTAATTCTTCCGCACTCATGTGTCACACTTGAAAGTTTACGAAAGACATCCAGGTTGGTAAGCGTACATCTTACGCTGTTAATTTTAACAATACTAGTCAAAATATTAGCGTATTTATCATGGAGAATTGATGGGTCATATGAAACTACTTACGTTTTAGTGTGTGGAATAGTGAGCGCATTTTGCACAGAAGGCGAATTGAAAAACGCCTAAGTAATTTTTCTCTGAAACTAACTTATTTTTTACGTACTGTGAAAAATGAATCTGCTTTATAAGGTACAAACATATGATCAAAAGTGAATGTAACAACTCCCAACCTGCCTTTCATGGACCTAAAATAAACGTTTATCAGTGTGATATGTTACCATTTGATAAAGTAGTCAGTCACCTGCTTATCGGATAAAAACGGATATTCCCTTCCAAGTATAACGAGGAAACCTTCATTGCCTTGCTCCATTGACAACAGTTATCTATATTTCTGCCAAGTAAACAATACAGTAGTTTACACTAGTTTAAACAAATCACTCAAATAACCGTAGGCTAAATGGAATAAACCTTTGCTTAAAGAACTTCCATTTTTAATTGTAATTGATAATCAGTAATTTTAAGTGAGAGATTAGGCGCGTGAGATGAGGAAAACATGTAAAGCCTTATTAGTCGATTAGTATGATATACTGTTCTCAATCCTTAAGAATTTACCACGTTTAATCTTCAAGGACCACAATGAGGTTGCTTATATCACTTAAGACGTTCAGAAATATCAAGTTTTGACTGCCAGTAAGAAGTAGAAAACTTGTGTATATTCCATTTTCCTGTGTTGTATCCCTAATTTTCATGTACTTCTACAAGGCTCGAGTTAGTAATAAATGCATATATGAGCTGTAAATTATACACGGAGATGTGGAAGATAGTACAGACAATCCAAAGATTACTTCAGATTCGCCATTACTTTAAACCATAAAGATATGTTGATTCAAAGCATTCCCCGTAAGGTTTCGAAACTATTTATAAGACATACTCAATTATATTCTCATTCATTAGTAGCGAAAAAACATTCCATTCTCGTAATTTTTGGGGGATAAAGACTGTTGAAAATAAACTGAAATATCTTATCAACTGACTAATAATCCTCTTCAAAGTTTTAGTCCAAGGTTGAAGGTAAAGTCATTCTTAGCTGAGTCGACATCACAGATTGTCAAGGCTCCTAGGAATCTTTAAATTATTGACAACTCCAGAAAATAACTAATAATGTTATATGCTTAGTCAGCAATATGCCTCAAATAGACTAATCTGCGTTAAGGGCAAAACCATTGTAATCTATGCAAATTTGAAGTTGAACCACATTCTTGCGAGATTTCAGATCACATATTAAACTCCAAACTACTATGTGTAGCTGAAAACCATAAGCAAACGTTAGTAATTCATATTTTTGTTGATAACTATCATTTAAATAAATGAAGAAGAAAATTCCCAATGTAGTATCCCATAGGATCCCATCACGACATTTTGCCACGCAGGAAAATGAGACTTTTAAACTTAAGTATTCGAAAATGATGAGCTAAGTGTGATGATTGGAAGTATTTAAATTATTACACGGACTGAGGATTCCTGAGATAATGCAATTAAGGCCAAACAACTAGGTGGGAGCAAACGAGCATGTTGTATTTGTAATTCAAAATCAGGCCGTCATCAAGTACAAACGACTCAATAATTCATACAAACAACACAGCTAAATCAAGTTATATGTGATAGTTTTATACACGTCGGCTTGATATTACTTGGAAAGCAAGTATAACTAACCTTATCGATAACTTTTGTCCAATTATATTGTGGTGTGTGCTTCTGATGTTGATATATATGCATAGTATGTATCATCAATAGAAAGTGAAATACATGGCTGCAGAAGGTTAAGAACCTCAAAGAGAAAAGAACGAAAAGTGAGAATGATTCCTGTCGAAAGGAAGGAACAATGAAGTCTGAGACAATCGACTGATACCTTGCAAATGAAAAATTTCTTGTATGGTTCTCAGATTTTGTGTTCAAATATATTCAGCCGTCCCCACTTATGTTCTTGTTCACGCCGATAGTATGCTACTTACACTGATCCAGAAATATCGAAAGTGGTGTTTCATATATCCATTTTGGTATATCTCTTATTCAAGAGTGGTTCGTACAGTGACTTTTTCGTCGAGGAAAGGAAAAATTCATAAACATTCCGTTATAGGAAGAGTTATCTGCCTGTATTCAGAACTGACTTTGTGTCCTCCCGATAACACGTAATCAAGTCACGCGAGCTATACGTTTTCGAGTCAAACTCCGCAACTCATTACTCACTAAGAAACGGTTTTGAGAATTTGCAAGCCAACAACTACACAACTAAATGTATCTAATTACACGGGAATTACCTAGCAAGAGAGCTGACATTCTCACGGAGTGCTAAGTACATCTAGGGGGTCCTCATTTGCAGTTTTGAATTTGAGATGTTAAAGTAGAAACTCATTGTCCTTTGGTGACTAACAAATGTTGATGTGAATATCATTATTTCCACTGCGTTCGTATATATATGCTTAACCTAAGCCTGTAAATTCAACAGTGAATATTTGGGACTCACATTGTTTTGGCACGAAATATCGAACATTTTGCTCCGAAAAAGTGATAACTGAGGTTTTAATAACTGTTATTATAAGAACGATATACTTTTGTTGATTACTTGCCATTTAACAATTAATTTTTCATACCTGTATTAGAATTTTGTTTTCTTGTCACTCGGGACGTCAGTTACAAGTACACCAATCGACAGTGCCTTAAGAACGAATCAGAGCATAATGTAGGCTTGGTGAATTTCCTTCGTCTAGAGAAAAATACGCAGGAGGTGACTGCTACTCTCGACAAGTTTTAACGCGTGAACACAATAGTTTATCAAGACATCTGTGTTTTTAATCACTATGATACATAGCAATTCTGAGAGCAACATACACACGCTTTTTAGTCATTAACCCAACTCCGATAACAATTTGGCTTACATATCATGAGTTTTGATATGTCCTCTAATAATATAAATGTCTTCCTGCTTGATCATTTTCGAGTTTGAAGTCTGAAAATACTTCTCGAGGAAGAATTTGAATGACAACATCATCGAATTCTGCATACTCAGAATCTCCTCAAGTGGATAGTATTCGAATTCAACAATAAGGGATGGATATGTGACGATAAACGAATCCCCATAATAGATACCTACATGTCTTTTCAACATTTAGCCTGACCACATCGGCTTAACAAGGCACACGCCAGCTGAAGACGCTCGGCCACGCAACACTGCTGGGTCACGACTGAGTGAAACATGCTACTTATCCTCTCCAACAAATAAGGGACTCAAATCTAACAATTTCCAGTATTCTTTACAAATATATCTTCGAATTTCATTCACGACGTTTGGGTTGACTGTGCTTTCGATCCGCGAGTATGAAATTAATAATAACAATAATTTGATCTCAAATAACAGTTTGTTACATGAGGCATACCAGTTTACAAGCAAGATCAAATTTTTACTAACGATACAATACACACTGCAGTAAATTACTCTGCTGGGTTGATAATTTAGAAGATATGAATGTAGATGGTTTCAGTCCGTAACACAGTTGGAGCGCTTCATGAAAGTCGCGTTGCGAATGTGCGACTGATGGTCAACGATAGGTCCATTAAAGATATGAGCTTCTAGAATTGCAACCTTATGTCCCTTTGGAGTATCCAAGGCTTTAAGGATGGTGCAGGATGAAGTCACCCGTTCTATATCTTAAGGGGGCTGAAAGAGGGAGCAAGTAAAAGAAAGGACGATAGACAGACTAGCCAATATTCACGAAGGAATGTTTAAGGTATGATTACTCAGTCTAATTTTCTTTTATTAAGGTATTTGTTAAGCAAGAGCATTTTAATAGGTTAAAGAAAATAAGTGTTAACAAGATATGAGTAGACATACAACTGACAAGTTGAGTGGATTCAGAATGGAGCTGAAAGTATGAGATTGTGTGTGTCACCGACATAAGCTTCACCAGTCCCTGAATACCTGTGAAATCTCCAGAAACAAGACTGGTCTAAAGTATTGGTACTAATGGATAAACTCCATAACGTGTTCTCGTGCATGCGTCAAAATTCTTCGTAGCACCGACTGTAGAATACCTAACAACCGTATCAGAAAAGAAATAAATGTGGTTCTAGTATTACTAAAAATTGTAAGAGCTGAAACGATAAGTGAATGTATTAAAATGCGATCAATTTAAAACTACTATCAACGTCCATGTGTACGGCCGTTGGTCATCGATACTATTATTTATTACCAGGATTGATTTATGACATTTGAATACGGCTATCGGTGCTTGTTTACAAGAAGTAATATGGATAATTGTCAGAGTGTGTAATGAATAAAAGATTTTTATGTAATTTTAACCATTCCGTACGATGCTTAGCACTTCTGAAGATGACATTTGGACTGCGGATATAATAGTTTATTTAGTGTAATTACGGATGAATCTCACGGAATCGCCATACCTATAAGGCCGAGTTGTGCCATACCGCGTTCATCACTGACTTTCCGTATCAGATGTCGAATGTGAATTTTCTCAGTTTTCTTATGTTAGTCTTCGAGTATCGTGTGGTCAAAACCAATACCACTATGAATTCTTCAGATGACGAGAAGCCCATGAGTTGATTGGAGAGAAAACCATCAGTTATTGGCGTCATGACAGATCACAGTAGCCTGCAATGTAAATAAGTCAAAGACAGAAGTCGACAGCACTATTGTCCAAAATCAATTCGTTCGCCATGGTCCCAAAGCGACTACAACCAAGAGTTACGAAAACACCCCCATCTGATAATAGGTAGCCAAAACGATAAGGCCAGCGTCAATATCAAAGACTCACAAAACTAATTATATATGCCATAGGTTCACTGCCACATATTTATTAGAATATAAACAGGAGGAATACTTGTAGTGTCAGTTATTATGCCAAGCCCATATACCGTATTCTAACTTTCGGACATCCCATTCTATTCATTCTACTTCAGCCATACTTTGACCTTGTTGTTTATTTGCCTATCAATCTAGACTGTTTTTATATGAGCGTATATGTGTGTGCACATCATATCCCATGACTCATTGCATGTCTGTAGCTTTATTTTGTCTGATTATAAATATTGAGTAACGCTTGACTAAAATGGAGTTGGCTTCCCAGCCATCTTCCCTGCGTGTCATTTTGCTTTACTCTGTTCCATTCACTTCATATACAAAATATATGTATTCACAAATCAATTCTCGTTATTCGACCAATTTAA